TCTGGACATTTGTGACCTATTTTGTGACTTGGATCGTGATCGTTGTGGTGACCTGCTCCTGTTTGTATGACCCATTTGCATTCTGGTGACAGCCTCAGTGAGACTCTTAACACTCGCAATGAGTCCTTCTATGACGGGGTCTTTTGCTGATTCTACTTTTTGTGTGTGATTTATTGTGCTTGATCCAGTTGGAAGACCTCTTTCCATGATTCTATCAGCTATACGCGCTAAATGAGATAATGAGGTTTCAGGATCTTGTGCATCCAAACAGTGTTGGACGTAGCATGGGAGAGCTTGTATCCATCCTTGTTTTAGGACTGCTTCACCCACTGTGTTATCACCCACTAAGATTTGGAGGTGACGTAGAAACTGTGACGGCGACCGATCACCTAGTGTTTCACCTTGAAAAAGTCTTTGGATTCTTTGACTATCTGATAATGATAAACGGTTCATTATCTCTCGTCTTAAGATGGTGTACGGTTGTGGTGATGGTGGATCTAAAATCAAGTCACGGACTTCTTTGGCGACTGAAGGAGGAAGGATAGAACACAAATCTCTATAGCGAATCCCTTCAGATTTGATATTGTGTCTCGTGAAATAATGCTCTAGTTGAGCAAACCACAACTCAAGATCACTACGATCAAATTCTGGAAGTCGAGATTTCGTAGTCATTACAGTGTCTATCTCCACTGGTGACAAATCCTCCAGATTATGGGTATCTTTTAAGTCTGACATGAGGTATGTGACAAATATAGCAATAAAATTAGCACGAAAAAAATGGTTTCTATGACACGAATAACTTAAGATAATAAAAAAATAAACTATTTATATACCCAACTTAGTTTACAGATTACCAGGTCTACTTTTACGATTGAGTAAAAAAAATAATATTAATAACAAAAATGAGGTTAATTTGTAATCAAAAAGGGCTCACCAGTTTCGTGCCTATAGATAACCCTCGTGTTATTGATAGAAAAAGCCAGACAAAAAGTGAATATTTCTTTATTTCGATCTTAGCGCAGCAACAGTGGAGCGTGGGATTATCTGTTCAGACAAACAAAGGCTTTCAGCATTCAATATAAGATAATAAGGAATATAACGCTTATACAAAATAAGGAAGTGAATGAATACTTAAACAATACTGTTTTGGCATATGCTTGGTTGTTTGGGGTCAACTCTTAACCAACCAACCTATGCTGTTACAAATACACTGCAGCTCAGCTCGTTTATGGAACGACACTTCGACTTCCAGGAGAACTCGTGGGTCCCTCATTCTCTTCAATGAACATGGATCTAACCTCCTAAGCGAACAGGCTTACAAACGCAATGCGTTCAGTTAAACCTGCTTCAACACGAACACAATCCACCGATGTTTTCGTTCAACCTGACTTACAATATAGTACACACGTTTTCGTTCGTCGAGACGCACATTGACGACCATTCGACGGACCTTTCAAAGTTCTTCAACGCTATTCTAAGTACTATATAGTCGATAAGAACGGAATGAACGATAGCATCAGCATCGATCGCTTAAAAGAAGCGTATATAGAAAAAATCTTATTCACGTCGATTTCCTTTAAGTACAATCGCACAACACGACTCCTACACTCATAATTCTTAGACCAACAACCAACACTAGCGATGACACTCCGAATGTGTCTGAAAATAAACTTAAAACGATACGTTCTGGAAGAAGAGTTAGATTTCCAGAACATTTAAACGACTATTGCACGTAAAGCACTACTCGGCATTTCATGTTATCTCCATCTTTCTTTTTACGATATATAATAATTTATAAAAAAATTTAATATGCTCATATGTTTTTATTTTTATTTTTAAAAAAAACAAATTTTTTTAACGCTATTACGTGTGCTTGAGTTTATTTTCCTTTTTTTCGCTGACATTGCGATTTTACGTACATACGAGTGTATTTCGACATACACTTACATTTTGTTTTTTCTTTTCCAGGACGGCTGGAAAAGAACGATGCAGTTTACGAGGAGTCGAAATTTTCATTGTACTTTTTCTTTTTTTACTATGTTGTACCTCGGTCCCTTATAGTAAGGAAAGACGACCAGATCTAACCTAGTAAGCTATCAGAAGAGTGTTTACCAACGACAGACTCGTTGGGTTTAAACTTCTGGCTGGCCACGTCTTAGGGTCGTCACTGCTCATCATGCTCATCCATACACACACAACAAACCACAAGCGCTTCAAATATGGAATGCTTGCCGCCGTTCAAGAACGTAGAAATCAACGTCGGCCGGATATGAAAGTCGATTGCTTTTCTTTCGTTTCGCGACAGCAAATCTATTTCAAGTTTCACCTTGACGTATGATATTCACAGGTGACAATCGGTTATTTATTCACAAGGTTGGGTGTTGCGTGGCCCATCGTTATACGTAGCTTGACCGCACTAAGTTTGATCGAGCATCTTGGAAACTGCGAACTGATCAATCGAGCAGTTTAAAAAATATGAATTTAATGACTTGATCAGATGCTTATTTGGTTGTCTATTAGAGAGGGATATGTCTTCGATTGACTTAATGTACTCGATATCTTTGATTCCAGGTTTCCATTACAACTATTATCACTACTACATTTGGCAAATTTTATGGTACTACGCTGTGTTGTAAACTAATTATATACAATAATGAAATAAAAGGCAACGTTCGGCATAATTAATCTGTGCCTTTGTGAATCCAGTTTCTTGGCTTCGCGCTTATCTGTATAGATGAGATTAGGAGTAAGAAGTCTTGAAGAAATCACATTTCAGCCTTCTGTCGGTCCAGGAAGCACATGCAACTAAAAGTGTTTATGCAGTTTCCTAGTAGCGGGGGAACATATACCTTACGGAGAATCATTTTGCAATTTTTTAAAGTAGAAGTTACGATCCATAAACTGAATAAGTCTATGGACTTAAGAGATCTGGGTTATAGCTTGTTTGGTTAATAAACGATTAATAGAATCAACGGCACTCAAGCCGAAGATGCTGTGTAGTTGTCAAAGGGATAGATTTGAAAGATGAAGCCTGCTACAGACCAACCCCATTGCTCTCAATACTGTTGAAAGTAATGGAAAAACTGGTAAAAGTGCAAACGAAGGAATGCATGGATAAAATGACATCAGGAAAGGCAGGTCCTTTAAGTTTAATCTACTTATAGAACATCACATCTAGACGATCCGTTAGGACCATAAGATACTAGTACATATATTATTCCACGGACTTGCAAATGTCTAAATATCAGGGATTTCACAAGAAACAATCTTCCGTCTACTCCTGTTTCTAATTAATCGCGGACGACTTATTAGATATAATTGGCTCGAAACAACATGCCATGAACATTTTGATCCATGGGACATGATTTACTTACATCCTCTATGAAAACCCCCCTTGCTGCAGCGTTGATCGTTGTTTTCCTTTAAATGTCATCACTGCCCCACTATGAAATACACAATGTTGTTTTGCCGTTACTCTTCGAAAGAGATATAAATAATAATATATTTCTGCATGTGCAGGTACACACCGTTTTTACAGGCATGATCTATAAATTACAACATTTGTTGGTTCACAAAATGTTTCCCAACTTATTAAGTTTATAGTTGTTATAAAGTGAAATTGTAGAGCGCTTGCTGTAACCTTGAGAGGACGCGTACATCAAGTTTGTTCCAAACGTCAGAAGTTTCATAGCTGTGCTCTCAGAGCAAGATTCTGAAGGGAAAAAAAGAGAAACAGAAGAGCAGCAAGGCACTTGGATATGAACGCCAAACGTTGCTTAACATAGTGTAGTAGAACGGACAGAGGTATAATAAATTGGAATAAATTCATATTATGTCTTGTTAGTGAAATGAAGTCAGAGGCTCCATATTAGAGAATGTACTAATAAAGAACAATGAGTTGTGATGTTTAACAAGTTGGAGTAAGCTCACACGAAGGGAAGGAAGTCAAGGCTGGTACAAGGAAAGCGGTTTATAAGAAGGGTGTGTATATACAGGGTGAAGTGTTAAGAATATTAATGACTACATCTTTTATTGTCTAACATTTTTTCCTATTTTTGTTTGTCCGATGCCAGCCACACAATCCTAGTGTAAAAATCCGAGTTAGCATGTTATAGGTTGTCTTAGTAGAATAGCTAATCCAGCATAATATTGGAGACATGAGTTTGAGTGGTGAGCGTAGGAAAACAATCTATATCACAGATTGATTGACTTATTCTTAGTCATGAGGAGCCTGATACATACAAAATGTTCTGTCCCCACAAACACGGGTGGATTGAAGTTATCGCCCTCACCATCAATGCTTGCTGGTCAGTATCTCTTAAAACAAGTACCTGGTGGGTTATAGGACCAAATCAAATCATAAGGTGACAGACTCCAGCACCTGAGATTACTATCGCTGAGTGATAGGAGAATAAGATCAGATCTGACAACGTTATATAAAACATCAAGTGCGACATGTCAGCCCAATAGGGAAATCACTACCACGCTCCTCAAGACAACTCTTGTAAAGGTGCACATCAGGGCAAGAACAACCAGGTACACTATCAATTTTTCTCATTGAGAGTTTTCCCCACTGAGTGCGCTTCCAGCCGGAGTGCCCACAGCTCCATCAGTAGATGGCTTTAAAAGAATATTCGGCAATATACAGTCACTCATGGATTACCATTTCTCGCTCGGACTATCTGTGCCCGATGACTCAAATTACCCAAAATTATCATCATCCCATTCTAGTGACTGCTTTTTATCTAGCTTATTATCATATGCGTTGCCTCTATTATTCTTAAACTTTTGCCTTATCGTATATTCACAAATACGTCTCTAATTAAAATGTTGCGCAAATTTCAACTTACCTAAAAGACATCTCACTGAATTTCAAAAAACTTCTTCACACTCAATACGTGTATATGTATGTGGCTATCGGTTGTTTTCTTAATTGCCGAAATACTTTGTGCTAAAGATTCTATGTTGTACCAAATACATAATATTGTTTAATGAGTGAGCGTAAATAAATTGATGCGCGAACATAACATCGTTACAAAATATTGGATTTTGGATATTTTATTAATGGCAGTGCTGATATAATCAAGAAGATTAACATATGTGTCAAAAATGTCTGGTAGATATTGGAGATTGTATACTAATCACTGTTATTGAACGCGCTAACAATAAAAGGATAATTTGTTTTCGCTCCACATTCATATTTCATGCATCAACCTAACTGAATGACATTGTTTGAAATTAATAAAAACCTCAGGATCAAGCGATTTTACGTTTGATGATGGAATGCTGAAGAATGAAGTACAACATACTGTAGATTGATTCATGGATCAATCTATAGAAGATGTCAAAACTCTAACTATTAGGGTGATCGACCATATGTGTAAAATCCCTTCAGATCAAGGATATAGTTCAAATGAGTTCAGATCAGTCATTCGCCTTTTCGACAGAAGTTTTTTTGCCATCGAGACATCTAAAAACGCAGTGGAAGATTATCGCCTTTGGATAGCTACAAATGTGTTATCTAGTGGTGAGTACCCCTACCGTCTTACTCAGATCTTTACCAACTTGGGGGAATATTCCTTCAGATCTCTGAGTGTTGGGAAAGAATCCTACAATGAACAGTACATTGAATTGCTATCATCCTTTCAGTTGACTTTGTGCAATTATCTTGAACTAAGTGAATTACTGGCAGAGAAAATGTCGATGCAAGATGCTTATTTGAAGGAAATATATCGTATTCATCAAGCCATGTTGTCTTACGACGGAACTTGTAGTGAGGAAAAGGTAAGAATTTCAAGCTAAATTTAATTTGGAATTGTTCCTTAGAAAATCACGTTGGTGATAGAAATAGTTGTGAAAACCCTTTACAACATGCTGCAACATGAAAGCCCAATAATATGTTCTGCCCTCAAAAAGCATAATCTCATAGATATTGTTACACATTATTCAAAGTCTACGAATACTAATTTGCAAGTACGATAACAACTGATATCCATTTTTTTAGATAGCTTCTTATCTAAGCTTAGCGTACATCTATAATGAAGAAGATCAGCTAATACCTGGGGATAACGAAAACATAAGTTTTTTGGTGAACATGCTCGCTTCTGCTCTTGATAAACCCTTGAAAAGGATATATGGTTACTCATGTGAAGAAATCTTAAAAGGTTAGTTCCATTTACATGTTTTATTTACTTTAGTTGTCGTCATATTGTTCACAGTTCAACAAACTTAATTAGGCGCCATAGACGGCTTCATTGACATTGGAGGCACAAAATCCTACTTCTGTATTTGAAGAAGTCCTTCGTTTCCCCATTTCATTCGTATATTTTACTTTTCCTCAATCCCTTACGCACAGGTTTTGTAAAGAAGAAGAAACTGAACGGGCTTGGCTTTTGAGGGCCATTTTACTCAAAACCTGATCTCAGCAGTTATTTCAGATATCAGCTCGATAAATCTGTTTGTTTCAGTTGAATACTGTGTGTTAAGAAGTCTTCATGAAACAGTTTATTATTTGGTGGTCTTTCTTACAGGAATTCAAACATTTCCATCGACCTGCAGTATTGTATTTCATGATCGCTATTTCATACGATAGGCTTTTCAAGCAAATGCTATCGACTCCGTAACTGATTCTCTACACTTGATGGTCATCTTTTAGTAGACTGCTTTGAACATTTTTTGATTGCTGTCTGTTACATGTTCGATACTTACTTTACAGAGTTCTCAAACGTTATTCAATAATAACTAATTGTAAAAGTTCATAGTCAAATATTGTAGTTCAATTACGATACAAGAAACACTGTTGAACGTTACAAAAACACAAACGATTAACAGGCCATCCTGGTACGAACAAGATTCTATGGAACTATAAAAACAGTAGGTTACACAAACGAATGTCACAATTCTAATAATTCATAGACAATTAAAAAGAAATCAGATGGTAAATCAGAACGGTTTCATGCATCTCAAATAAAACAAGATTCCATACATAACGCGACATAAATAGGCCCTAGCCGTTTGACCAAAAGGTAACAGTGATATTTGCTAAAAGGTTAAAATAAACCATTAATTATCCAAGTATGTTAAATCATTCAAAAACAGGTTGTCGAAATTACAGCGACGATGCCTTTAATCACCCATGGAGCTTTTAAAAATAGAATTCGGCCCTTCATAAATACCGTCGCGAAATTGGCTCAGTCTAACTGTGTGGTGCTTTCTCTCTTTCTTGGCACATTTATCGTTTTGGTTTGAGTTTTTTATCAGTTGTTACTTTCAGTAATTGTCAACTAGGAACAACATTACAGGTTTCTTCGTGTTTATATTAGATGCATCAAGTTTCAAATCATAACGACGTTTTTTCTTAATTTTCGGCCAATCGCCTATAATGTTCTGTTTGGTTTTGAATTAAATCATCATCTTTTAGTTCTCATTTGGGAATAAATTGTCGCTGTGAGCATCAATACTGACATGCAGATATACTGGGTTTATAAGCCTAAAGTGAGAAAAAAAAGGCAAACTGAATTCCACTTCTAACTGCAATTTCTATGTTATAGAAGCAAAAATCTGGAATTTTGGCTCAGAAGGCCACCCCACAAAATGTATACAAGAAAAGATAATACACGGGGAAATTTCATCAAAACGTTTAGTTGAACTACAGACCTTTACAATGAGTAATTCATAATCGTGTCATTAATTTGATCAACGTCAAAATCAATGCAAGTTTCCATAGATAATATTAGAATAACATTCAAACAAATATACAATACAACCACAAACAGTCTTTTGGTGTAAAAAAAAGGTTGAATTCACTATCACCGCAGAATTTTTTGTGAAATGAGAGTTATCAGTAACCAATAAAGGAGTAAGTTACTGCTATTGGGTGGTCGAAAAGTCAGTTTCACTTTGAGAACGAAATTTAGGCCGTTCAAATACAGACAATCTTGGTTCCTTCTTTTATTATTTTTACAGGTTTGAGACTCTTGGGATCTAGTAGTCGAAACAAACAGTCCATATGCCAGTCGGCTATACTACAAAGCATTCAGTGCACTATAAAAACACTTAAAGGAAAAGTATTAGAAGAAGTTATACTTCTTCTGCTGAAATTAACACTCAACTCTGGAATAAGAGGCAGAATAAGAAGAGACTTTGGGGTCATATTGAAGGATTTAGATATATCTTTCAAAGCGGAAGAGTCTGAAACCTCAAACAACATAAAGAAGGCACTTAATAGCATTTTATGGCAGATGAGTCAAGGTTAGTATATACATAGATAATCAGATATTAAACCAGTACTTTATGTAAATGTAAAATTCCATGGTGTTTGACTAACACTAATGGTTTTCTGAAAAGCAAATGCAGTAGATTTATCCAGTATATATAGCCCACTTATCGCTGAATCAAAAGTAATTCACGAAAGTTACTCGATACTCAGAAATAGAAAAGTGTTCATAAAATTTCATTCTCTTGAGTTATTGGCAAGTCATAAAGAATGTAGACTTGCAAAGATTCTGGGTCAACATTGTAACAAATACAAATTAGTTTTATCAACTAAATTCAATGTAGTTGACTAAGAAAATTAAGAAAACGAGGATATGCTTTCTCCAGTCATAATCTAACATTCTCCCATAAAACTTCCAGTATTCATCATAAAGTGACTTTACTAACGACATTAAAGCAAATATTCAATGGTAAATACATTTTTTAATTTCCCATCTGGTTATATCGAAAATATATTTATTATGAACTCTCTATCCAATGTTCATATTATTTTAAATTATGAAGTCCAACCTTGGTAGTGATACCAATAATCAACAGATTTCGAATATGACATATAATTTACCTATCTATGAATCAAAAACAAGTAACAGTCATTATTACTGTGTTTGGGAATAATATTCATTATTTTCAAATGAATAATACTTCTTAATATGGAAGTTGTTGAAGTCGGTGAATTTTATTAGATTTAATAGATTAATCCAGGTTATACACTCGGTGATGTCTCGGAAACAAGAAACAGCTGATTCGAATTAGTATATAACTCATCAGTAGCGTGCATCCATGACTCGTAAGCGGATGATCGAATCCAGGAATTTTGGTCTCGAGTAAGATTGTTTAACCCTTAAACCATTGATCCAGGACTCAATAATCTTCATGTCTAACTTTAATCAATCTGTGATATTGTTTGACCATCTTTCATTTTTTTCGAAGCACTATCTTCACAACCAACATAACTCTAACTAAGATTGGTTTGGAACTTAAGTAATAAAACACATCGTCAGAAGTTTTCAATCTAAGATCCCATGCTTAAACAACCACAGAAAACAACTAGGCGTAATGTTATCTGGAATATGATGAATTCTCTGTTTAAATTGCCAAAATAATGGTGAATGTAAAGTAGTAACTTATTAGAATATGCACAACCTTCGTCTTTGAGATACAAAGGAAAATTGTTAGAACTTAATTAAATGTATTGAATAATCAGTATGTGAACTAAGCAACACAAAGCCTGTTTAAACATTTAGCTGGAATATAATTTATTTCAGTGATCGTTAGACATATGTTTCCCAACTTCACTAACAAAAGGAAGAGATATTTATTGATTTCTATTGTTTATAAGGAATCTTTTGAAAAACAAAATAGCTCCAGTAAAGTTTACCACTTTGATTATAAATTTGATAGTTAGAAGTATGTATATCACGAAAAAGTTTTCAAATTTTCCTGTGATAAAAGATTAAATTACATGATACATCTGGTGGAATCCTACAAAAACTTACTTTGATTTGCCTTATTTCATTTGTATATGTGACTAATTTCTTGCCGCTCAGCTAATTTCTATTATTACATGTTTATTTTTATGTCTTATTTTTCATATATCGTGACGGACGTTTCAACGTATTATGAATACATTGTTTAAACCACATATAATTACCTACTTCAGCAAAATATGAAGTCTTAAATAAGCTTCTTCTGATGGTAGAAAATAGTTTTTCTTTACAACAGGTTCTTAATGAGATAGACTGTTCACTTTCTAACCATCAACTATTTAATATTTAACCAATGATCATTTGCGTTTAACACTGATCTTTTTCCATTCTTAATTTTCTGGCAATTTATGTGGTATCATTCTCAATTCCTTTTTTACTGTAATTTATTTAAATTTTGTGTACCAATTTGAAAATACTGTAATTTAAACCATTATATTTTTGCCCCTGGGTTATGACTATTTTAACTCAGTTTCATCAATCAGGTTATTAGAATGCTGTTGTAGTCTATTAAAAGTTTGTATTAGCTTTTCTATAATAGCTAGGGCTTATTGCCCGTCGAGAGCCTACCATTAACAACGAATTAGGAATTAGAGGCATAGACTATTCATTAAAAATCTCCTTTCAATAAGCTCTAAATCAACGACAGTATAACCAGTAATGTCTTGCGTGACAGGATAATCAGAGGTGATATAAGAAAGATTTATTTAAATAAACTTTGTGATTTTCCAGTCGACTTATTATACTTACTTACTTACTTATTCCTGTAACCCCTCATGGAGGCGAATAGGCCGCTCACCAGCACTATCCATCAATTATATCCTGGGCAGTCCTTTCCAGTTTATAAGGGTTTAGAATAACCATTATATAACTGAAAATAATATTGTTTGGGTAAACATGTATATAGTCTTCATTGATACAGAATTTCTTCTGACATTTTATTATTTTAATTCTATTATTTAGATAACAGTTCATTAGATTATGAATTCAACTTAAATTCTTCTACACAACTTGAACATTTAATGATAAGTTATAGCCATAAACAGAAAGAAATTGCAATAAATCTTACAAAACATTTAAAGGAAAAGGGATATAAGGTTAGTGAATTTTTTTTTTAAATATCTTAAAATTTTACATTATTTGACTGCACTAATAAAAATTAACAATAAAATTGTGATTTCTCTCATCATTGTTGAAAAATGTCCCTGTTTTTATGCATTCTCATAACAGTTTATATTCTATTCAATACCTACTTATTTACGTCTGTTACTCGTCGTGGAGGAACCTAGGCCTCCCACCAGCAATCTCCACCCAACCCTGTCCTATGCAATCCTTCCCAGTTCTTTCCAGTTGCTATTCATCCTTTTCATATCTGCTTCCAATTCACGACGTAGTTTGCTCTTTGGTCTTCCTCTTTTCCGTTTTCCTTCACGATTCCAAGTCAGAGCTTGCCTCGTGATGCAGTTTAGTGACTTCCGTAATGTATATCCTATTCATTTCCAACTTCTTTTCTTAATTTCCTCTTCAGCTGGAAGCTAGTTTGTTCTCTCCCACAGAAGGCTGTTTGTGATTGTATCCAGTCAATGGATGTTGAGTATCATGCGTAAACAACTATAATTAAATACTTGTACCTTCTTGATGATGGTCGCGGTTTTTGTTGCATGCTAAGAACCGTCGACCAAGAATCGAAGTTTTCTTTGGCAGCCCTATACACAGGGCTTTAAACTCGGCCTGAAGCTGTCCTACAGTTACTGCCGGTCTCAAGCTCGGGTAAAGGAGGAGGGTTGAGCATGAGGTCTGCAACCCCATCCTGTAAAAAAAATCTTGCTAAAAAAACGTCAACCAGATTCTATACAACAGATTAGTAATATTTAAATGCCATTATTAACATTGCCCAAAATTAAAATATGAGTATTCTCCCTTTTTATATTCTTTGACATCTGAAATCAGTCATGACTAACGTAAATTAAGTATACTCGAAATACTTGATCAAATGTCAACATTAATTCTTTCTATAATTTCATATTATTCATTAAATACAATAAAATTTATAATTCAGCTATTTATGTAATGTATAATTGTGGTGATTAAATAAATTAATTAAATAAAGGTTCTATTTATTAAAACAAAACACAATTCTCACAATATGATTTACATTCAAAACTCGAAAATTATTTTTGGTGGAGTTTTGTTCTCTGAGCTGGATGGTTTGGTCGTGGAGCTTTCATCGTTCTTCTGAACGGCATCATCAGCACAAACTTCAGATAGAAGTGAAGTGTTCGAATTTCTCCATATGTGTTTCCCAGCTTGTTCTGTGCACTTTAATGTTGATTGGTTCTTGTTGACCTTAAATTTGTCATCGTTTACTTCTTTGTTTTTGTTGTGTCTCCCATTGGTTTGATTTTTGTTCCTATATTTGTGCTACAAATTTTCACCACCATCTCGAAAATTGTTTGTTTTGAATTATAAATAAGATGAAAAGTTTGTGAAGTTGTTGTTTCCTGAGAACAGTAACAAGAATTGGCATCATCTAGACTATCGTTAAAATGGAAAAAAAATTTTCTGCTAATTTGAGATTTTTCAACAGTACATACATTGACTTCAAGTTTCATAAAGAGTGTATTACTTTCAGAACATCTCGTCAAATTTAACGACAATATAATATATATCAATTTATGATGTTGTAAGACCAATACATAGTTGTCATCTACTTTAGATATATGTTAGCAGAACATATGAAACAAACGTAAAAACCTTTTCTTGAAAGGCGTAACAGAACGTCATTAACGGTTAGGTTATTCAAAAGCTAGTTAATACAGTAGTAAACGAGAACATACAATTGGGAACAACCGAATGTGTTTGAAAGCAAAATTATAGAACATCTTAGTAAAATCTGACAACCATGCAATAAATAATTCATTTTCAGAATATTAATCAATTGTTTCAGAATTGATTGTTCCTTGTTTGCACACCTATCATTGTCTGTTCTTTTTCCCTTTTCTTTGATCTTCTTAACCTTTTGCCTCTAGGCATTTCACTTTCGACTGATGACACGTACAACTTATACCTATGGACATCAGTAGCACACATCACAACACTACATGCTTGAAAAATCAAGGTTAATAAACGCTTATCTATTAATTTAGATGATGAAAACCATTAATAATTTCCGATTATTATTGATAGTTATTTAGAAATGTCTTTCTATAAGTGTTGATGTTTTCATTGTATCAGGTATGGTTTGATCAAGACAATCTGAAATATGCTGCAAATACATTTAGAAGTATGGCTGAAGCCATAGAAAAATCTTATGCTGTATGTATTATATATTCCGAAAATTATAAAAATAGCGAATATGCTGAAATGGGTAGGTGAAATTAATTTAAAAGAATAACCAAATACACTGAGTACAGTTTGATGTATTTTTCCTTGAACACTAATAATATCCGATTGGTTAAACCAAAACCGATTGGTTACTACTTTTACCCTTTGACTGGACAGTTGAATGTGGACAATGCTTAACACTTTATAACAGTTCTTATTGAAAATTACATATAACTGTTACATAATGTGCATTAAAATATGAGATTGATACAGCAATATAATACTTACCAATGAAATACCAAAAAATTATTATTCAGGTTACTACAATTATTACGATTAGTGTTTTAGAATTCCAACCATTATAATCATCTATATATCGATAATTGTGAATATTTCTTTGATAGCTATAGTGTTTCTACCAGTAATTGTCTTTAGAGCACATCATTGTACGTAATCTACCCGATGAAACTTTGTTTAATGGTCATGGCAACTTTATATGATTTGCATTGGTTACAAGCTACATATTTTAAACGCTCATACTACCTTCCATTCCCATTGAACCAAATATTTTTGGAAGCCCTCGTAAATCAGAATATACAGTTATTTCATCGTTTTACACTCAATTAAAACCACGTTCTTAAATTTCTGAAATTGTTTCTCAAGTGCCGCTTACGTCCACAGTAGCTGCCAGTACTTACAGATGTTTCTTTTTAAGGAATTACTAGACCTCATTATCAAGTACATGTAATAAAGAGAATATCTTACTACCAAAGTATATCTAGTTAAGAAATTCTTAAAAATTGGTATCATCATTTTCGTAATTGCTCAACCTAGAATAAATTACTGCATTCATTTCTATAAAGATAGTTCTAAATAGTTCACATCAATTCAAGCATTTACAAAAAGAATGGAGTAAAAAACTTTGTGTTTGTTCAGTTGTAATATCACTTACTATTAATAAAAATATAATGAGCACACACATAAACTCGATTTTAACATCTCAAATTTATTGGTTCCTAAATGATTTAAGAAATACAAATCCGATATTTTTAAAGTTTTGATCAAGTTGTGATCATGTTTATTTTGAGTCGAAGATTTTGTAAATGTCCACGTCATTCAGTTATGCAGTAAAACCCTAATTTTGCTTACGAGTTATTACTTGTCATAATAACCTTTCATTGCGTGCTTGCACCATTTATTTGAATTTGTTTGCAATCACTACCCAACCACAGTCAAGTCCGACAATTCGCCAAAAGTATACCATAATATAAGCAATCTTCTGACTGTTTTAACAAAAAATCGTTTCACAAAAATCTAATCGATTTTTACATTCCGCTATTAACTATTTCAACATATATTTAAAGTATGATATCATGGATTAAGTTTGATATAACAACTGCAGAAATCACAAGGCAGTAGACACTTGTTTTGCCGTATTATGAGATACCTTGGAAGTGAAAATATGTTCAAGCGTAAAATTAATTAGATTTTTACAACAAAAACGACAAAATCTGTATTCAGCAAGTTTATGATCTGAACTTGATTCAGATTAGAAGATCGAATTCTCAACAACAACAAAAGAAAACAAAAATAAAATAAAAATTTGAGGATTCCGAGGTATTAATTAATACGCTGAAATGTAGGTGATCAATCCTTTTCAATCAATAAAAAAAGAATTATTTTTATAAAATTATTGTCTACCTACAATAAATGACCTGGTTTTATGATTGAATTGTAATTTGTAGTGTAATATATACATATATATAACATCAGAAGGGGTTTTGTGAATATTATAGTATTTCTATCAGTTGAGATCATGAGTTAATTGAAGTTAGACTACTATTAGAAAGCTCAATTTCGTGGATGAGTTGAAATTAGACATTAACACTGTTGGATACGCGCCGACTGAGTTATCTAGAGGTGAAGTGTTCGCGCACGAAGTCGATAGGTCTTGAGTTCAAGTATCACGAGGTATAGATCGTGGATGTGCACTGTTTAGAAATCTCACAATGGGGCAAAACGGTCGTCTAGCTTCAATTGACTCATGATCTTGTTGGGGACGTTAGATCCCCAGAACTCACATGAAAAAGGTACTAATTTTGTAATTTTATATTGAAAATTTGAATTTCTAACATTTTCGCGTCATAAGCGCCCTTTTCGCCTGCATGTCATATTTCCCACTTGAAAGAATCTTAAACGCTATTGATTCGTTGTGTCTTTTAGTATGCTATTTTGTAACGCTTCCCAAGGACGGTTTTGTGCTGTATATATATACGTTTTGATTTGTATCTGTTGTTATCGCTCTTACTTTTGTTTTTTTGCGGAGTATACTTTCCCGTTTGTACTTCGAATACTCTCTCTAGTTAGCGGGGTTGGGACGCAATGGAATAGCTAGTTTATTGGTCTTTGATCACAATTCTTTGTTACGTTCGGAGACTAAGTGAACTCGTCATCGCTCAAACCCAGCAAATCTCAACTATTGAAATAAATATAACAGTTGTTTTTGTCCTCTACTTGAAATTACGCATTAGATTACTGCAATTGTATAACTAATAATCATGTGAATAACCCTTCTCAAACTTTGGATACATAATTAACAGAGATTTTCATTGATATAGATATACTCTGATGTATTGGATTAAGAAATACGATAAACTAATGAGCATAAAGAAAATGTAGTTCCCTTTCTTAAAACATTAATTAAATTAATATAAAAATTCCTTAGTAACAATAAATATTATATTCTCCTTAAAGAATATTATTATGTAAATTTTAACTATCAAGTTGAAATATAACTACTAGTCTTAGTTATTTGACATTGTTCCTTCTATTTGAACAGACCATAATCATGAACTTGGTCTTCTTGCTACTATTATTGTATCGAAATTTTCATGTGAGATTGAAAACACTATGTAGGTTAATTGTAGTGAACAAGAACACCAGTGGGAACAATCGGATGTATTTAACACAAAATTACAGTTGTTAATAAAATCTAACAATCATAAAGTAAATGCTTAATTTGCAAAATGTCCACCAATTGTCTCATAATGACTCAGACTTCATTGTTCTTGCATCTCGATACAAATCGCATTCTGTTTCCATTCTTTACTGTTCGATCCTTTTGTTTCTCTGCTGCCAGACCTTCTGTTTACGACTAACATCATCTACTACTTATGCCAATGTAAGTAGCACACCATCAGCAGGAATCATATAAAGTTTTATCAACTATATTTTTCGATTAGATGGCTGAAGCATAAATCAGGTTACCATTTGTATTTGAAATGTTGATAAATTTCCAAAATTGTCTTAGATTCTACACTTGTTGACTTCTTTCTACTAGCTTACACAGTTGAATCTGATTAATCATATGCAGTTCATTCATTGTTTTTAAATGATTGGATGAATAGGCAGTGGCTATTTTAAAAGCATGACTAAATGTTGAAGAATAAAGCATAAAATACTATCTAGTAATGTCTGGTTTTAACTCTGAGGTTTCATTTACTATGAAACTACAAATGAACGTTATACTTAAAAAAATTGAAACAGTTCATAGTTATCAATGTGGCAAAGTATTTTAATTTTCCGGTGTTAAGTAGACAATAAATCTTTTTTTTTTATTGAATAGAAGCAACATATGCAGTTTGTTTGAAAAAACCAATTATTTGTTTACGTGTACAACGTGACTACAAACCAAAGGGTTGGCTTGGTCTTATAACTGCCCGAGAAAATCGTATTGACATTTCTGGGAAGTATCCATTTGATGAGTATTTTTCTACTTTATGTCGAAGAATCGATGAATGCATAAAAATCAAAACGGATCATTGTAGTTGATCACGTAAGTCATATCATTTATCAGTAATTATTCATTATTATTATGTTTTTAAAATTAAAAGCGACGAATATTAAAATACGAATAATTAATGAAACCCTAAAAGACTTTTATATCACAGTTGAAATGAAAGTATATATATTTTGTAATTTTCAAATGACTAAGATCAACATAGAAACCAATATAATTTTAAAATAATTTTTGTTACGAACTAAATTCAACTAGAAAACCACTTAGATATCAGAAACGTTTAACAGATGTTTCATTCCAGTATTGAACTTCAAATTAGTAAGCACTGGTAACTTAGATACAATTAGAACCAAAAGCATTCATTTTTCACAGTTATCGCTATTTTCTTGGGTCAGTTATTTAAAATTTATTGATTTTTAACTACAGTTTAAATCATTTTATGATGAACGCCTCAACTATCCGATTTTGTCAGTAAGATTGGTTTCCATTTTCATGTGAATGGACATGTTATCTTTTAGTACATTTCCACGGAAGATCGTTTTGATGATTATATAGTAGCTTTTAAAGAGTTTATAATCAGAGATGGATGGTGACTAACGGCAGAATCCAGGGCGCACGTTTCGTTTGATTTGAGGCAAGATAGATGGATAAACCTGCATTAGAGAGCCGATGTTCACTCTGAGACTAGAACTCACTACCGTTCATTTTAAAAGCTATCGCTCCATACACTAATTTATTGGGTACGGATAGCCACTAGCTTGTGAAATGGGGTGATGTCTAATTCATTTTTGGATTAATTGTTCAAATCTTTCCATTGACGTTTAGGACTACAGTTGACTATCTAGACTCAGTAGCCTAGTGGATAGTGCGACAGTGTTTAAAACAAACGGTACCGGGTTCGAGCCTCGGAGTAAACACCAACTTAGGGGTGGAGGTACATGCAGCAGACGAGTCCAAAATAAGGCGAAACGAACATTCTGGATTCCACTGCTAGCCACTAACCATTCCTGCTTATAATAGTTGTGACCCAAGGTAATATCAAGGTGATACTCACACGATGTACAAATGTCAATGGGTGACTGATCAATCACAGTCTGAAACGTCAATGGGAAGATCCAAACAGCCAATTCAAAAATGAGTTTTTGCTGACTTTGTTCGTTAAAAGTAGTTTATTTTCTCCAAATGGTCTAAGTTTTTTTTTCAATTTTTCGACTAGTATTTTGAAATGATTTAAGTACTTTGTCAATCTTTTAAAATCACACAATACTATTCTCTTGTTGGCTGTAATCTTCATTATCATAACAATATGAAACTTAATTTACTTGATATTGTTTTTATTTGAATCTTCCCATTGATGTTTTAGGACTGAAGTTGATCAGTCTCTTATTGGCATATGTGCATACTGTGCGTATGCCTCAATATTGCCTTAATTTACAAGCATTATAAGCAGAGATGGATAGTGACAGGTACATCCAGCTGACAAGTCCCAAACAGGACGAAACGCGCGTCCTGGATTCCACTGCTAGCCACTATCCATCTCTGCTTAATATGAAACTTAGTTCTGGTTATAAATATGCATCTCATTTCAAATAAATATTTCTATCTGATTTTGTTGTGTACAATAATTCTAAGTAGAAGAACTCTTGAAAGATCAAGAATTGGACTGTAGTTCATAGTACTTAAATGTCATTTTCAGTATTTCCAGACAGTCGGAACGTGAACAGCAATAAAGTTCAGAAAGCGCGTTTCATACTATTTAGTATTATTCAGCTCAATGTACCTGAATCTCAGAGTTGATGTTCACTCCGAGTGTCAAACACGAAGAAATGTGGGTCCTGGATTCCACTGCTAGCCATGTCCCATCTTTTTTATTGGAACTTGTATTACAGTGGCTATCTCGAGGCAGTTCGCATGAGATGCTTATACGCCGAGCGGGAATGAAAAAAATTCAGTTAACATTTCAGCAACAGGATAATCTAATTCACTTAAATTTGAATGAAAAAGACATTTTGTAGCAGGTCTCAGAACACTTCTTTGTATTTTGTAAATTAGTCAAAAAACCGTATGAGAACGCTTTTCCTATTGCTTTTCAAATATTAACAAGATTTACTGGGCTTCCGTCAACTTTTCTTCAAATAGAATTTATTCACAGAATTATCGGTAGTGTTAGTCGGGGATTTAGAATACATACACTCATTTCACTAAACTTCGTTCTGATTTATAACATGGCACTTTAGAAAATACAGTTGTTAGAGGAATCGTAGTAAATTAAAAATATTCAATGAATTTTCCATTTAGATTGATTATAAACATCCAAGAACAATTGTTGTTTGAAACTAATCTAAGGAATGCGACGTCTTGTTTAAGCAATTTCAGTGTGTGCTACTTATGCGGACAGATATAAGAAGTATATATTAAGAATTAGAAGTGGAATCCTTATCAACAGGAAACTGAAATAAGGAAAAGAAAGAAAACAGAGATTAATTAGAATACTACAGAATTGGAGGAATGATGGATATGTGCAGATGAGGATATGCGAATAATGTATTGTATGTGTGATTTCAATATTTTACAAAGGCACTGCGTAACGTTTCCCGAACATGAAACTGTTTTTACTTAATTACTCTTTGCTCTCAACATAACTATCGTTCTCACGAGCAATCAGTTGTAGTCATTAACATCACAGACGAAATTATACAGACGTGTACAATTCAATTCATCCCCCCCTCGCACATATTAGTACCTAGTTAAACTTAAAATTTAGTGAACAATGGGTTTATTTTTTGGAACCATAAGTACTGTGTTCGAGTCCAGTGGAGAGCCTTGATATTGAAATGTGTTAGGTACACCTAATTGGCGAGTCCCAAGCAGGATAAGGCATTCATCTGGGATTCCATTATCAGTCTCTATCGAATGTGACTAAAAACGTGTGACGAGATGTTAATATTAAGGCAACTTGCTCAATATAGACTGATTATTTGTAGTTAATAATACTGGCGACGGGAAAATACAAACCATTTCAAGTAATAAATACACTGTGACCAATAAATGTACAAGTTTATTATTTTCGTTCATTTCCAGAAATATTTCTCGATTTAATCTTGACGTGATTTTTGAATGGACGAAAGGATTTTACGCACCTGGCAACAAATAACCTCTAAACATAACTCACAATGTGTGTAATCAAATTCAAACTTAAAACAAATGTGAAGATTGTATGTTTTTGATTTGATTTTTTAAATGCCATTGTAAACTATGTATGTATACTGCATACATTTCAGATATCTTTATGCAAGGAATTATGAGTGTACACTTCCATTTATTTTAAATCTTCTTAGTGGAATGTTCACGGTTTACTAGATTTCATTCTTTATCTTTTATTTACTTATTGAAATTTCTATTTTATTGATGATTTCTTTCGAAAAATTTCATTACTTTATTTAAAAAACAAAATCAGTTTTATTTATCTTGGCTCATCCAAGTATCATTGTTAAGCACTAGTGAAAAAGGTATATGTTACATTGCATTTAATAGTGTTATGTCTACAATTAACATATTTTGAGAATGAAGCATACTTGGAAGAATTTTGTCATGATAATGTAACTGTTGAAGTGTAACTTTTTTCCGATATTCTAAATAAAACAGTTATGACTTATAAAAATTGATCCGTTGAATGTCGTTCAGTCCGAAATTCTGTAATGCTTCCAACTAAACATGAAATATTTTGGTGATAATTCAAACGTTTTTATATGTTTCATTAACAAATGGACGAGAATATTCTTGGTTTCGATGATTTCAATGGACGTTGTTACTTTTGATCCATCTACTATGTACAATTTGATAAGTATGATTGATTGAAGCAACTAGAACGTTTGGAATGTTTGAAGAAAAAAACTTGATACCTGGATAATGTAAAATTAATGATAAAACGTATTTGTAGTAAGGCGCCTGTTTGAATGTTTCAGACGGATATTTTTATAGATAATTGAAATAATAGTTCTAGAATAAGAAAAAGAGAATTCAGCGAAGAAAATTTTCTTTTCGACGAAATCATTTACTTAAGCTGTACATTCGTATATATAGTTATATGGAAAATGTATGTCTATAGAAGGATAGAATGGATTGTATCAAAAAAAAAATGGATTCGACAATAAATAACAAATGAGGTTAACGTACTAATCAAGGAGTAAGGAAGAACAAAATTTAAGGGTCAGATAATAGTCCGATTGACAGATCAGAAGAAAAACGACAAAACAACAAAGGTCATAATAATAAACTGAATGATAATCAAGAAAACTTGTAAAAGGTAATAATAATAATAAATGATTAGAGTTTAAAGTGCAAAATAGTAATTTAAAAATATGGATAATAATAAAAGTGCATTAAAAAAAAACAAAAAAACACCTAGAAACATACCCATTAAGGCCAGGGAAGGATAAGAGGTTGGACAAATCGTTTCTGCACTCAAAGTTCAGGCTTTAGTTTGTGGATTGCCTCTGCCGTGCATAAAATATTGATTCGAACCCCCTTCGATCCAGTTCCTTTGACTCTGTAAACTATTTTAAACGAAGAGTCTTTTGGAGCGATATGTCCACAGTTGATTAAGTACTCCTGTATAGAACCCGTGATTGTTTTTCGCTCCACTTTCAAAAACCAAGCCGGATAATGTTCCGAGATGCGTTTGGATAATGATCGCTTTGTGCGGCCTATGTAACATGCCCCACATGAGCAGGTAAATTTATAGATACACATTGAAGTGGCCCAAAGCGAAAGTTTGTCCTTAACACACCCCAGAATGGTAGGTCGGCTAGAGAAGATGATTCGAAGCTTAGCTGCGTGGAATGTTTTATTCATTGATTTCGAAACCCGTTTATTGAGGATTTCAGCAGCTGTATCTCCCTTAAATTCCATATTCATAAATACGGTTTTTTTCTCTACTGTCAATGCTTTATCATGAGGTCTAGGTACCAAGTTTCTGTCGATGAATCTCGGTGGGTAACCATTTTTGATGAGGGTCTGTCGAAGATAAAATAGTTCTACATCTATTGTGTCGTTGGAACAAATTCGCCTGATCCTTGAGGATAAAGAATGAATTAATTAATGGAACCCAACTGTGGAAGTTCGTGTATTGTCCATTCCAAGTGGGTCTTCTGTATATCGATCTCTGTAATAAACCGTTAGGCATTCTTTTTAAATGGATATCAAGAAAATGAAATTCGTGGTTTGTCTCTGCTTCTAAGGTGAATTGTCGTACCAAGACTATATGGACTACCAAAAGTTCATAAGAATAATATCTCACCACGTCCTATACTGGATATGAACAATTCTCCCCATCACTTGATCGCTAAATGGTTAGTTAACATTCTAAAACCTGTTAAAAATCATATCAACAAACACAATTCTCTTGATTCCTTTGACTTTGTTGACTCCATTGGAAATATCAATGTATCCGGTAAATAATGTTTTCATTAGACGTCACTTCTCTTTTCACAAATGTTCCCCTCACAGAAACCATTTGCTTTCTATGTGACTATATTGAAAACAATAATCTTGATATGCGTATCCCGATACATTACCTTAAAGAACTACTTCTAAGATGTACGCTCAACGTGCAATTTAGATTTAATGATATTTTCTATAAACAAATAGATGGAGTTGAAATGGGCTCTCCATTGGGTCCTCTCCTGGCTGATTGTTTTATGGCGAACCTAGAAAATTCGGTACTTCGACCAAGAATTGAAAGATTTCATTTATATAAAAGATATATGGATGATACTTTCATTATTTGCGAAGAAGAGAGTGACCTCAATGATATTTTGAATATTTTCAATAACTGTCAACCATCAATCCAATTCACCTTAGAAGCAGAGACAAACCACGAATTTCATTTTCTTGATATCCATTTAAAAAGAATGCCTAACGGTTTATTACAGAGATCGATATACAGAAGACCCACTTGGAATGGACAATACACGAACTTCCACAGTTGGGTTCCATTAATTAATTCATTCTTTATCCTCAAGGATCAGGCGAATTTGTTCCAACGACACAATAGATGTAGAACTATTTTATCTTCGACAGACCCTCATCAAAAATGGTTACCCACCGAGATTCATCGACAGAAACTTGGTACCTAGACCTCATGATAAAGCATTGACAGTAGAGAAAAAAACCGTATTTATGAATATGGAATTTAAGGGAGATACAGCTGCTGAAATCCTCAATAAACGGGTTTCGAAATCAATGAATAAAACATTCCACGCAGCTAAGCTTCGAATCATCTTCTCTAGCCGACCTACCATTCTGGGGTGTGTTAAGGACAAACTTTCGCTTTGGGCCACTTCAATGTGTATCTATAAATTTACCTGCTCATGTGGGGCATGTTACATAGGCCGCACAAAGCGATCATTATCCAAACGCATCTCGGAACATTATCCGGCTTGGTTTTTGAAAGTGGAGCGAAAAACAATCACGAGTTCTATACAGGAGTACTTAATCAACTGTGGACATATCGCTCCAAAAGACTCTTCGTTTAAAATAGTTTACAGAGTCAAAGGAACTGGATCGAAGGGGGTTCGAATCAATATTTTATGCACGGCAGAGGCAATCCACAAACTAAAGCCTGAACTTTGAGTGCAGAAACGATTTGTCCAACCTCTTATCCTTCCCTGGCCTTAATGGGTATGTTTCTAGGTGTTTTTTTGTTTTTTTTTAATGCACTTTTATTATTATCCATATTTTTAAATTACTATTTTGCACTTTAAACTCTAATCATTTATTATTATTATTACCTTTTACAAGTTTTCTTGATTATCATTCAGTTTATTATTATGACCTTTGTTGTTTTGTCGTTTTTCTTCTGATCTGTCAATCGGACTATTATCTGACCCTTAAATTTTGTTCTTCCTTACCCCTTGATTAGTACGTTAACCTCATTTGTTATTTATTGTCGAATCCATTTTTTTTTTGATACAATCCATTCTATCCTTCTATAGACATACATTTTCCATATAACTATATATACGAATGTACAGCTTAAGTAAATGATTTCGTCGAAAAGAAAATTTTCTTCGCTGAATTCTCTTTTTCTTATTCAATGACACTATGGGTTATTTTAGTTCTAGAATAATATAACACAATATTAACAAGGATACATAAGGAATATACAATGATAAAAAGGAATCATCAATAGTCATAAATAAATAATTGAATAACAGAAGTGTAATATGTCAGCTTATGTTTACTGTTGTTCGTTGTAGAACTTTTCAGTCTGTTGTGTAAAGCAACCTTGTATCTAGTTCAATTAATTTAGATTTATGTGAAACTTTACTCACTTTTTAATTCATTTTAAACTAGACTTAATTTTTAATTTCCATCTATCACTGTGAAGAAACAAATATATAATTTCACAGATTGAAATTATGAGTCAGTTGAAGCTAGACCACTATGGAAAACCTGAAAGCACTGGACGGCCGTTTCCTCCTAGTATGGGACTCCTCAACAGTGCGCATCCACGATCCCGCACCCCTCGAGATTCAAACCTAGATACCATCCTTGTTTTTTCTTCTGAACAAAACATTGGTGGTTGCTATGACACTTTCATTATCTAATTCTACTGTCCAAAGTGTATATTCAAAGTCAGTTTATGAGGAAACCTATCATTAATTGGATTTATTCAAGTTTTTTTTGTATTGGTATTAGGTTTTCCCATATGTGTTAAATGAAATTAACAAAAAATTCTCCATTGGTCTTATCAATATATCCAAGAATGCTAGAAAATTCTAGAATTCTAGAAAAATCATTTTCTGACTATGGAATATCGTATTACATGATCAGGAATGTTTTTAAATGATTTCTTTCACTTTGTATAGACATATTCTTACTGTTCGATAGACGTTTATAGAACCAAGTAAAATATTTTATTTTAAATAGAAAAACATAGACTGCCTAATAGACATACAAACTGTTATTGATTATGCGAAGACAAATGATTCCCCATAAATTATTATGATCTTACAAATTGATCAATAAAATAGATGTAAATATGTCGTCATGGGAAATTAGCCAATCAAAATGTTGAAAATAAGTATGATACTACGTATGAACTCATAATGAAACAATCTGTTTATCGAATTGAAAATGTGAAATTCTTTTGAAAGAACAGTAATATTCATCGATGAAATTTTCAGATAGGTTCTTCACCAATTGGGGTGTAATCCGTAAAAATCAGGACATGCGTTGATAAGAGGAAAATATAAGAGCGTATAATAGAAACATGTCTAAAAGAATGTTTACGCAATATGAGTAGAAACCAGTATAATGTATTTAATTATCATTTGAGTTCAAATTCTGTCAATCAGCTTTCAACTTCGTGTAACTTAGTAAAATTTCCGTGAATATAAGATTCTATGAGACCGGTATTTATTTGAAGGTTTTGTTAGGGTTTCAAATATCGCAAAATTTAAACACAAGAGTTTTTGATGACTACGTCCCAGTATTCAGCATCAACTCTACTGGTTCGTGTATGGTTAGTTGATTGAACTTGATTTGAATATTTCTTCAAATTTTATCTTCATAATAAACTTGATTGATACTGGAAAAATATTATCAACATGCTATATAAAACCGTAGTGTCATGATAAAAAATCTAATTAATGTATGAGGTTGTGATGATTATAATGTTTTAATTGAGATCATTAGCTGATCAATGATAGACCACCATTGATAACTTGGAAGCACTGGACGACAATTTCGTCCTAGTGCTCAATTAAAATCTAACAATCTTTACAACCTTATACTGAGAATTATCATGTACTCACTAGTGACCAGCTTCGGGAGACATTCCACGGAGTTCTAGTGTGAAGCAGTAACCAGTAGAGTTCAGCTGTATCGTAAGAACCTGTTATCCATCGAAGGCAATAGAAGATGGTGCAATTTCGTG